CAAGACCCTTTGAAGACAAGTGGTCTTCAGGAGTCTCCCTCTACTCAGCACACCGGGTCTCAACACTTTCAAGCACATTATCACTCCAGTCACCCCAGAGTTCCCCTGCACGAGACTGTGCGACTAGACTGACAGGTTTTAACTTACCCACCAAGTATGCACCCGCCTAGGAAGCTGGGCTTCACTTGTCTGCTTAGTGAGTCTGAAACAGCTATTGGTCTGATGACAGAGTCGCTCGTGCCACATTGGGTCACCTGGACTGGAAACCGTGAAGCTGTTAAGTCTCACTTTCTCCATGTTTCTCACAGCCAACCAGTCACGACCTTTCTTTGACTTTATTTTCTGTCCTTCACAATTTAAAAAAAAAATATACCTCCATTTTGGTTGGTTCCTAGTGCACCTACTTCCTAGGATAGTCTACAGTGAATTTCTCATTGGCCCTCCTGCCTCTGGCTTGACCCTCTGCCATGCATGACGTACTCAACTACAAACCAGTTTCAGCCTCAAAGGCCCTTTATTGCCCAGAGTACGACTTGGAAGGTCCCATAAGATCTGGGACCTGATCATCCTCACTACCCATTACCACAACACGCTTCCTCCATTGTCTACTGATTTGGGCCATGCTTTTGTGTTCTGTCCAGGGACGCTCTCTTATTTCCACCTCAGTGGTTTTGCTCAAGTCATTTCAACTTCTTGTGAATCTCTTACATTTGCCAACCTTACCCATTCTAGAAAGGCAATTTCTTGTCTAAATCCCATGGGAACCTTCATTCAGAGTCCAACTTGAGGGGTCTGGGTCCGCAGGGCTCTATAAACCCTGTCTGCCATCTCATCTTGAGTCACAAGGGCTCTCAGCCACACATGATACCCTAGGGAAGCTCCTGTATCTCTGGCTCCAGTCATGAACAGCTCTGTCTGCTCTCCTGGGGACCTGCAATACTGCTTACATTTCCACTTAAAGTTCCTTTTGGAATCTGTTTTTTTTTTTCTCAACAAGAACCCTCAAAGGCATAAGGTCTAGCTAAATGCTCATTAAATCTTCCACTGAAAGGAGGGCTCTCACCGTCCTTCCCCAGTAGGTCCAGAAAAATGACATGTACATTTTTTTCTGGACCATTTAAGCGATTCAGATCTGGCTTTGACATGGAAAATCTAAAGGACACCAGGAAGACATGAGGAAGTCGCTGTAGGTGAAAACAGTTGTCTGTATGTGTGCTGGTTGTCCCTTGATGTAGTCTTCTGCTTGCCAGCCATTCCTGTCTGTCCAGGGACAGCGCCAGAACATTCTCCCTCTCCTTATCAAGGCAATCCACCAGTTCTTCTATTTGGGATACCCTGCAGACTTTGGGCTTGTTTCACGTTCTGTCACTGTCATCCGTCTGCCATAGGCACATGGTCTGCGTCAAGAACTACTTGCATGGCTGGGCTGTGGTGGTGAACATCTTTAATCCCAGCACTGGGGAGGCAGAGGCAGGAGGATCTCGGTGAGTTTGAGGCCAGCCTGGTCTACAGAGAAAGCTCTAGGACAGATAGGGCTACAAAGAGAAACTGTGTCTCAACCAAACCAAACCAAACCAAACCCAAACCAAGGGGATGCCAAGTATTCAGGGTAAAGATGGAAACACAGATCAACCCCTACAACCTATAATTTTCTGCTACCACTTCTAAGTCTTCCTACTATTCTGAGAGACACACACAAGCCCTGGACTGTTGATTTCTGTCCCAAGCAATCTCAATCGTCTATGATCACTTGGGTTTTAAAAAATTTATCCAAACCTAACAGAACCATTTATTATAGACAAATGCATTCGCAGCAATGGGTATTTGCTTGGCTTTATTCTCTCCTATCTGTGTGTAGGGTGACTCGCAGTAATCTCCCTTATCCTGGCAGACAATAAACATGCACACGGTTTCAAGGAGTCCAGAGAACTTTAATTTCTAGGAAGACCAAGTGAGTGGAGCAGATGCAGGTTTTCAGTTTTCCTTTAAAGCCTAGCTGTTCTCAGCAGGGTTCCAATGCAATGAGGGACCTTTTCCGGGCTTCACAAGACATGTTCAAATGCCCAGAGCTGACATTTAGCTTGTACGCATCCATACAACTGACTATACCTTACTGAGCTGTTAAAATAACATTTATCCCCCACTAAGTACTTGCCCACTGTTGTAACCCACACAGCTTACCATAGTGCCCCATTCCCATAAAGACGCACTGTGACTTAACCCTTAAGAATGCGTTTCAAACCCAGGCCCTGTTAGTTTTTGGCTATTGTCTTGTAGCTACAACTTGCTTCTCACCATATCCGTTATCCCACAACAGTATAAAAAAGCATGAGCCTTGAGAACAAGACTACCTAAGAGGTTGTTTTCCTGGCTACCATGTCATCTCCTCAAAAGATTCCTGCTGAATAGAACACCCTGGTTCCTGTAAGCTAAGGCCCAACTTATGGGCAGCCTACTCCTTTAAGCCCACACTGTATTTTTATAGGAATGCTTCTGGATGGATCTCTGCTTCAACACACACACACACACACACACACACACACACACACACACACACCAACCACACCCCACAGGCTTAAATGACTGCTAATCTTAAACCCTATTTTAAAATCCAATGATAACCATAATTATAAAAAAATGACATGTATCTAAGAATGGCAAATAAATCATAGTGGAACTACTCCAAGTTAGGCACTGTATGAGTGCTTTGCAATATAAACTTATTTAATCCACAGGATAACACTGTGACCTGATTTGATCATCATCACAATTATTATAATTGAAAGAGGAGTATAGTCAGATATATTTATTTTCACCCTCCTGATTTTCTTAGATATATTTCAAGTTATAATTTATTCAAACCTAATATTCACATAATGATTATTTAATGAAATTCAAGTCATCATATAGTCTTTCTTATGTACCCTAATTATGGATTTCCAAGTGTACTTTATAAAATGCTTTGTCTTTAAGTTTTGGATTTCTTGCTGAAAATGTAGACTGTGTAGCAAAAGTACCTAAGAACCTTGGTTTCTACCAGTTTTCTCTTTATGTTCAGCATTTAACATGGCCATGGATCTGGGCAGTTTAGGACTCTGCTCAGACATTCTCTGAGCATCCAGTGACTGTAACTGGTTAGCTGGCAATAAACCCTGGTACAAATCTGAGCACAAAGTTCTTCCGCACTTTTCATGTGGGTCTGTGGGAGAGGTGAGTGGGTCCATGTCTGCCTGTCCCTGCCATCCTGCACAGCATCGTCTGGAACACGGATCTCTCAACATCTTTTACAGCATCACTGGTACTGTGGGTCCTCAGCATCTTTAACAGTATCACCTACACCATGGGTCCTCAGCATCCTGTACAGCATCACTCGCATCGTGGTCCCTCAGCATCTGCTTCTGTTTCCATGGCCCCATCCATGTGCTTCTGGGTAGGAGAAGAGTGTCTGGCCAAGCCTAGCTTAGGCCTTTGCTGGTGGAGAGTGCGGTTGTCTCTCAACCAGTCTATAGGAGCTGGGAGAGAAACACGAGCAAACAGATTTTCATGGGAGAAGCAGGGAGGAATCTCTGGGGTTCCTGTTTTGGTAGAATGAACGAGCATCTGGAAGAACTCTGCTGACCCTTGTAGCCTCACTGGGCTGTAAGAAAGCTCTCTGGTGTAGTCTGTAGGGCTGGGTACCATCGGAAGGCGAGGAATATTTCCTGACCACGGTGGTCCTCTTGGTTCTCAGATGGCTTGTCATAGACGAGAAATTAATTCATGCAAGATACGTGGATTGTCCATATGAACTCTGTAACATTAATCGTTCATCCTAGACGTCATCATCTCTCATCCTAAAGCAAACATCAGCTTGCCACAGTCCTGACTTTAACATGAAAAACAACATAACCTTCCCAAATAAAAACAAAAACCTCATCTCTCCTATGTTTAAAGTGCTAGCCCATTCCAAGCTTTGATGTTTTTTACACGATGTCTTGTTCAAACGATCTCAAGAAAGACCCAAATAAATTAAAATTAAACATAGTCCTTCCATTTGTATTCGCATGTCTTTATTTCTCTGTATTTTTTGGTGGTGGAGTTGAATGAGAAGAAAGAAAGGGAGACTGATAGGGATCAAAGCCTCCGGACTTCCTCAGGAATCTCAGACATGGCTCAGTGGGAGTGTCTGGAATCTGGGGGTGGAGTCCTGGAAATCACATCACAGGGGATGCAGGCGGCCCCGCCTACTCCTGGGGTCAGTGGTGGTAGACCCCGTGCTCCTGGAAGCTCTTCTGGAAGCTTTCCACCTCAGTGGCCTGGGAGCCCTGGAGACCACTTCTGGCAGGATCACCCTTCTCCCAGAGCTACGCCTGATGGGGTTATCGGGGCTGGAAAAGCAATGCCCTTGTCACACATTCCTACTTTAATATGTTAATATTCCACCTACACCCCCCCCCACGGCCAGGCTGAGACACCAATAACTCCTCCAACCCTTTAACTCAATGAAAGGAAACAGTGTGATAGGCAACATTTCCAGCAGCATCACATTATAACTATGCTGACTCTTCTTTGTGTCCTGGCTTGACATTATTTCTGTACCTGAGACCATGAAATACGCCTCTGTTTTTTTTGTTTTTTTGTTGTGTGTGTGTGTGTGTGTGTGTGTGTGTGTGTGTAGATATTTCTGCTCTGATAGCTAAGCTCACCACACAGTTGTATAAAGGAGGGCCACACAGCCACCCACAGATTTTATTTATCTGGAAGAATCTGTTTCATTTGTTCTCAGCCATATTGATAGGTAGCCTTACCCTGGGAAAGTAAGGCAGATGAAAAGACAAAGCTGGCCCACGACAGTGGTGCCAAAGCAGAATCAGAATCAGAATCAGAATCAGAATCAGAATCAGAATCAGAATCAGAATCAGAATCAGAAGCAGAAGCAGAAGCAGAATCAGAATCAGAATCAGAATCAGAATCAGAAGCAGAAGCAGAAGCAGAATCAGAATCAGAAGCAGAAGCAGAAGCAGAAACAGAAGCAGAAGCAGAAGCAGAATCAGAAGCAGAAGCAGAAGCAGCAGACGCCCCCTGTGCACCAGCCATCTGGATTATCAGGGAGGCATCATCCAGGCAGGGAAACACAAAGGAGTACTTGGAAACAAAAGTCAGACCAAGCTTGCCCTGAAGAGACAGGACTTTCTTAGACAAGAGAAAAGCAACAACATTTTATTTACTTCATATGTTTTAAGGTGTATTTTTAAACCATTGCTCTTATTTTGGGGGGTTGTGGGGCAGGGGTAGAGTATGTTTAATGACAGTTTGTTTAGAATGAAATTCCAGATTTGTTTTCCATCATCATTTCAGAGAAAATTCAGGAAGGGAATGGGGGTGGGGGTGGGGGAGTGAGGAGTCCTAAGAGTAACACTCAATGAAGCCATAGGAGCATTTGCAAGCAGAAGCTTGCTTCTGCCATAAAGGGTTGCAGAGGCCCAGGCTGGACTGACTAATTTAGGAAGGGGCAGAGAGTAGACCTGTCTCACTCCCCCTGGAGCTCTGCCTAAGTGGTCTAGCATTGAGGGACGTTGAACCCCCTTAGAAGTTGGTTGCATGAGGCCGAGAAGAAACTCCACATTTTTATGGAATAGCAGATGTTTCCCACCGGACCACACAAAAGCCATCAGACATGACGCAGGGAACAAAAAGCCCAGCATTTCCATGGAGGACCTTCCTTAATGGGTCACTTCCCTAGGATCTGATGAACTTGTGAATGGAATAGACACACAGAGAGAGATGCGTAGGGGTCATCTCCGACATCCAGAGGCTGTTATTCTCCATGGCTGCAACCACCACCTGGTTCCCTGCCTGTTTCTTGCTCCCATTGAGTGGCCAAAGGCCAGGCTCTGGCTGAGGCAGTGCAAGAGAGAAGACAGGTCTGGGGGCTTCTGCCTCAGTTCCTCCCAGCCTTGGTTCTGGCAATGGCTCCTTCCAAGACAGCAGCTACCGAGGACACCACAGCCGTGCTTCTCAAAGAACTAGGGAGCTCCTTCTCGGCTGTCCCTTCATGCCCGTGGTGGTGGCAGCTTCCTACCTGTACTGTGTTGGGTGTTCTAGCATCTCCCATGATTTTCTTTCCAACCTGTGCTCCTCCGTGAAAACAGCCCCCGGTTTAAATTCACTGAAGCATTCTCGTGACTGGGATACTTTCCCCCCAAAGAATCCTGGCTGATACAGTGGCACCCAAATTATCTGAAACCCGGTAGAGTCGCCAAAGAATTGAAATTCTGAGTTTGCACAAACAAGGATCCAGACTGCTTGCGTGTACTGGAGAGCAAACCACTTGCTATTTATGAAACAGAACTAAGAGAACAGGCTATAGAAATCCCAGGTACAAAAGACCCGAAGAAATGAAGCAGAATCAAGCAGGATTAATGGCGTTAATCGAATATTTTCATAATCGCCCCACCGCCTGCTGCTAATGACACATTCCAAACAGACTTCAAGAAGTAAGAAGTAAATCAGGAGAGCCCTGTGGAATGAGGAATTAGAATTTAAGTAGGCCAAAGCTGAGTTCAGAACACAGCTCATGTAGTAATCACAGAGTCTACCTTTTAAAATGAAAAAAAAAATTTGATGCGTTGCTTGTGTATTAGAAGATTCACAGCACATTAAGAAGGTTCCCAAACTCGGCTGGATTCTGAGTTCAGCATATAAATGCTGGCCTTATCACCATACATAAAGTACCTATGATCTGTGCCCAACAATACCCGATCTATCAAAAAACATCACTGTTTACACTGTTTAGTTCTTTTTAAAAAGAACTAAAAAAATGGAGCACTTTCAGCAGTTAGGACGGTGAAGAGGGGGGACGGATAAACTGGAGGTCAGTCTGGGTTGCACTGTAAGCTACTGTCCCAAAATCAAAACAATAACTGTAAAGGAAGAAAAAAAAGTTAAAATAAATAAATAAAAAATGGGCAAAATACAAATCTGGAAACCATAAGTAAGTTTTATAGATTTCGATTTTTAGCTTTGACATCTTAATTTTTGTTACTTTTTTTTTCTTTGTAGGTATTGGGCCAGCATCCAAAGTGATTATTGAGAACATTACTGAATTGGAACTAAGCTGAGGTGAGTAGAATTAAGAATAGAAGAGAGAAAGAAAACTGAGAATGGAAACTATTCTCAAACACTATCAAAGGTGACAGAGGCCCCAAGGTGCACGGAAGGGAGGATATAAAAGAACGGTGAGTGAGGCTACTTCTGCAGTCAAGAAACTGCTCCTTTAAAAACAAAACAAAACATGTCCCCTTTTCTCTTTTCTTGGGAACAGAAAGAATAGCTGGAAAGGCATTTCAGAAAGCGTTTATAGGTGGGTTCAGAATTTAAGTGTCCTTTCAAGAGGCAGTGAATACAACAAACAGTCCAGGTAACTTCAGAAGTCAGCTGGCAAAATGCTGCTACCACCACACCCATTAGGTGTAATTTCCCAATCCCCAGACAGCGTTGGGCTAACACCACTGCCCCCTAGTGTTCTCTCATGTTGTTGCAATGTGAGTTAAGATTCAAACTTATTTCCAACACGAAGCAGTTATCAATGTATTCTTATTTGACAGTGACTATTATTTTCCTGTGGGGTAGTCAGACATCATACCCGTGGTATGGATAAGTGTTTAATGCTAACCCAGACTCTTTTCATTGATTGATAATTTAAAACAGAAAGGGAAGTCCGGGTGACATTAAGTAAATTCTTACTCAGTGAATCGCACCGGGCATTAGACATGACATATTAAAAGTCAAATCTCGTGTGATCCCAATCCTACGATTTTAAAGTGTAAGGTTTCTGTCAAGACAGGAAGACTGTTGTGTGTCACAGACCGGCCTGGACTATACAGAAAGAGACACTGCCCCCAAGAAACCAAAAGTACAATACAATAAAATAGAGTAAAACAAAATACACTTCAGGGTGTCACTGATCAAATTCCTCTGTCTGGTATTTTCCATGCAAGCCATAGTTAGAACAGACAAGTGCTATCCACTAAGAGTATGACACGAGGCACAAATATAACTTAACAATTGTAGTGAGCACTTAAAAATTAGTCTTCATAATATACTTATTTTCCTAATATATACTTTTTCATCTTTAAATTATTTTTTAAAATTTTGAACAATTTTTAAAATTAAAACATTTTGGTATTCTCTCCCTCTCCCCCACGTCCTTCTCTACCCGTGCAACTTTAAGTTTGTGTAAAGAACAAACTAAGATGTCAAACCCCTCAAAACAAAGAAAACAAAATGAAACAACACCTATAAAATAAAATTAAACAGCAAAACAGCACCACCAGCAAAAGCAGTAGCTAAAGTCAACCAAATCATAACCAAATAAAAGTATACAAAATAAAACTGTGGAGTGCATTGTGTGTCCATCAGCCGGTCCTCAAGATAATGCCTGTCGAGGAGTGGTTGATATGCACAGTGACACTACTAATATATACTTTCATGTGAGTAAATAATCAAAATTAAATGCTACTGAAGTACATCCTTTATTTTCTCATTATGAGGTATTTTACGTCTTAACCAGGCCCGGCATCATACCTACTGTGGGCAGCCATCTGTGTCTGGTATTGATTGACTATCAGGCCTAGGGATGTGGATTCATTTTCTGACAAACGCACCCATCAATAGTGCCGTATCCCTCTGTTTTGAAGCCAGCATTTTTATGGCTTTTTTTGTGACACTGGCGGCCATTGATGGTAAATGTCAACATCCAATATTTTTATAAAGGTCTCAAAATGGCGGCATAACTTTACCGCAATGTCTTCATCTGTCGGAGGGAACACTCTCACAAAGAGAAACGGTGCATCAAAGTTCCTTCAGTTACTTGAGATAGATTACACCTTTGATTTCCTTCATTTGCTGGTTTGAAAGAGGATTATTTTTTTGTTTCCTGGTGACTTTTCCAAGCACAGTAACAGTGTCTTATTTTATTTTTTACAGTATCCTTAGAGATTTATGCATTCTAAGACATTTGCCTCAATCTGTTACAGTTGTGCTATTTACTATTGTTCATATTTTCCCATCTCTTGCCCCCCCCCACCGCCAGAGTTCAGGACCAGGTAGCCTACAACAGCTACCCCAGACTCCGGTTCCTTCCCATAGACCTGCAGTCCATCACTCTTCAAGAAATGCTTGTTGTCAAGCCTGGTAGGTAGGACACCAGGCAGAGACCAAGGTCTCATGGTGAGATTTTAATCACCCTCTAAATCTTCCTGGGAACAAAAAGGAAAGGAACACTTATTAAATAAGACAATCTTCACAGATTCACGATATTTTCTCATTTAAACTCAAGTGGAGGGTTTTCTTTTTTTTAGACTGTATGTCCTTTTCTTTAGTCAAACTTCAGTTTTCCGGCAAAGACAATGCTTACTCACTTCCTTTATCCGTTAGGCACACACACCACACGGTGAGAATAAATCCCAAGACGACCAGTCGGGCATGATGATAACAACAGTCAGCTCACAATTCCTTGCAGTTGCCTTTGGCCCAGGGACAACATTCGACTTAGGCTATGCAATGTGACACCTGCGGTCTGAAGTCTCTTGTCATCCCCTGCTACTGTGCCACCTGCTGGAAAGCAGGCACAGCTGTCTCGATTTACTGTTGATGTTTCAAATGACTTCAGATTTATTTTTGCTTCATGATGATGTAAAGTTTTATGCGGCTTTAAAGTCAAATTTACAAGATGAATCTAGTGCTCATCTGTCTCTCTCTCCTTTATGCTGGTGCCTTCCTCTGCCTGAAGACACCGTTTTATTTTTAAATGCCGTGGAATCTTTCCATTAATGCAATACTATATTGTTATATAACACTAGTTTCTATCTGCATGCTTCACTCTCTTTCATTAGGTAAATGATATCAGATTTTACAGACCCTTGTCAACCTAGAAAAGTTAGTTTATTATTATTATTATTTTATTATTTCAGACAGGGAAAAGTTTACCGCCTGTACAGCAACCTGACATGGTAGCTTTGACTTCGTATTAGGCAATCTGAACATTAATTTTTTTTTTGAGAAAACAAGGAGTTTAGTGGTGAAGTCCTAAGCTGCTACCGTTTTATGCACGGCAGTTTACACACCTCTGAGAGAGATTCAAACAGAAAACAAACAAACAAACAAAGACGCAGTAAGATAAAGCAAAAGTCCTCATATCAAGGCTGGAGGAGGCAACCCAACATAAAAGAGTCCAAAGAACAGGCAAAAGAGTCAGAGATACATTCACTCCCGCAGTCAGGAGTTCCACGAAAGCACCACACTCACAGACATAGCATATATGCAGAGGACCTGGTGCAGACCCATGCAGGTCTCTGCTTGACTCTTCAGTCTCTGGGAGTCCATGTGAGCCCCGCCTAGTTGATTTGATGGGCCATGTTCTCCTGGTGTCCTCCATCCCCTTTGACTACTACGGCCTTTTTTCCCTCCTCTTTTGTGGGGTCCCCCAATCTCCTAGGGGAGGGACCTGATGGAAACCTCAAATTTAGACCCTCTCTGAATAATGTCTGGCTGTGGATCTCTGCCGAGGGATCCCATCTGCTGCCAGAGGAAGCCTCTCTCGTGAAAACTGGACAAGGCACCAATCCTAGGTCTCTGGGCAACTAGACCATTGGTATGTATATAAGAAGAAAGCACGGTACAGCTAGACTTTGGGGCTGCTCATGAATCAAGCAGGGGCCTTGGATGTAGCACCATGGCTAGGGGAACCCCGTCCCTGGCTTTTTTTCAGATGTGTCCTGGTTCCTTTTTCCCCACCACATCTAGCTTTTCTCTGTCTCTTTGCCCTTAAACAGTTTTCCCCCACTCAGTGTATGCTCTGTTTCCAGTAGCTATCCCTTAACACAGGGACTGGCCAGAGGAGGTGTGTGTGTGTGTGTGTGTGTGTGTGTGTGTGTGTGTGTGTGTGTGTTGAGTCCTGTTTAAGTATTGGTGTAGCTTGGGCTACTCCAGCACACTTGGGCTCTCCATGTCCACCCACACACTGGAGCCAGAGTGACTCCCAGGTTTCAGGCTCTCCACCCAGACAAACCGCCCAAGCTTTGTGGGGACAGCTTTGGATGACTCTAATTTCTCTGCCTTTTGGTGCTAACAGGAGGCCCCCCAGCTTTCTTTCTGTCTTCTGTGACACGTTTTGAAAAAAAACAGCCATGCCTTATTACCACCAATAGTTTATGCAACCCACACATAAAAAAACAAACACATTTTGGTTCTAAGGGGTGCAATTTACCACTTCTTTATTATAGAGTTGGCCGTTGGGTCTTGTTTTTGCTGTTATAGTTGCTATTTTTTGCACAGGGTGGTTTAATGATGTAAAATTCTTGTCACCTTGGCAATATTTTGCAGATGAAGCAGGCAAACCCATCATCTCTTTTCATTAGCATCTGCATGCCTGTTTCCCTACAGCATGTTTTCTGAGGCATTTCAGATGCCCTCCCATTTGCAGTGGGTGGGTGACAGCTCATTAAACCATCAAAAATATAACCTAAAAGTGGATTTCACTCTTAACCCACCAGACAGCTTAGTGTGTTGGCCCTTTGAGTACACAGGGTACTTACTTTAACCTACAGTTAGACAAAAATCATTACACAGAAAATCCATTTTATAATAAAATTCTGAGTATGCCATATAATTTGGTGAATACTGACTCTATGGAAAGCAAAACCCAGATAATAGCACAGACATGCATTTGCAATACTACAAAGTTTAAAAATCATAATCCAAGTGGGAACCATCTCTATATTGCTTAAGCAATGTGGTGTTGGGATAATCTCTTTGTACGCTGTGTGAAGATGTGTCTCTGTCCTTCCTCACTTGCCTGATTGTTTCTGATTGGTTCCATAAAGAGCTGAATGGAAAACAGCTGGGCAGGAGAGGATAGGAAGGGCTTCCAGGGAGAGATAGGAGCTCTGGGAAAGAATTTGAGGTGTGGAAGATTCACCAGCCAGACACAGAGGAAGTCAGATATATGGTATTTAAGAGAGGCAATGAGCCACAAGGCAGAATGTAGATTAATATAAACATGCTAAATTAAATTTTAAGAGCTGGTTGAGAACAAGCCTAGGCTAAGGCCACACTTTCATAATTAATAAAAAAGTCTCCATGTCATTATTTGGGAGCTGGCAACCCAAAGAAAGACATGCAGCATTTAGAGTCCAGCACGGAAGCATGTATGTGTAAACACAGGGCCTGAGAAAGCTGAGAAAAGTTCCTGGTGTACAGAGGCATGACTCTTTTAGGAGGCCCTGTTGTGCAGCCTAACATTTGAGGAGGGCCTGTGAGCAGCTGGAGGGAGACTCTGTAGAATGGCCTGCCTGCAGCAGTCCAGCCCAGCACCATCACAGAGCTGGGGCAGGTAGGTAAGGCTCCCACCAGTGATCATGGGCATGAGGTTCAGCTCTTACCAACCCAAGTGGGGCAGAGCCAGTCACCAATGCTGTATGCTAAGCCACAGAAAGAGCCTACATATGCTCAGAGGTGGCCTGGCTCTTTAAGACTTGACTCACAGGGTCAGAAAAGGCAAGTAGGAACATAAAAAGTCAGGTCCAGTATAGAAAAATAAACCAAAAAACTAAACAATCTCTGAGCAGGCACAGTACCCTTGAAATGTGCTTAGGTTCTGAAAAAAAGAAAATAAAATCAACACAGACAGTCATAGAAATAGTTTGAAAATACCAATGTGAAGTTCTGAAAGATTTGAGAGTAAAGTAATATACAAAGAATAAGCCATGTAAGAATGGGGATACCATACAGGATGTTTGGACACTATATAGTGCCTTATTAATTTTAAAGTTTTAAGTGGTAATGAGCAACAAAACAAAACAAACAAACAAACAAACAAAAAACAACAGCTACCGAGAGACACTGGATTGTGGGGGGGAAACTGCCGAATTAAATCAGAGTATATATTTTAAAGATATCTTAACTTCAGAATAGAAGTCAGGAAATGTATTGCATTGTGGGAGAGGTTATCTCTTTGTTTCTATGGGAAACAAAAAGCTATGGATTCCTCTAAAATTAATAAAGATCAGATTGGACCAGGGAAGACCTCTTGAGGACCTTGTCTGCAGACATGAAGAAACCAAGAAAAACTACAAGACAGGTGACATATATGCTGGTCCTTCTACATGGGAACAGCTTTGAGTTGGGTGAGACATGATGACTCTTGTTGGCTATGGAGTCCTCATGGCAGTCTGGTTATGCAGTCCAAACAGACTTATAGAAGTTGACAGATGCCTTTTACCTGCTCAAACATAGACCAGAAAATCGTCTCTAGCTGACTTGTGCACACTGCATATTATCTACTTGTGTTGATGCAGACATATATATGTGAATTTTAAAAGTCTTATGTTTTCAGGACAAAAGAACCAGGAACCAATGAAGACAAGCAGCCCAGGTGATTCAGCCTCCCAGAATGCCTCTATTGCTGTTTCCTCAGAAACCCGCAACCAGAAAATCTTGGAAGTGGCTAGCTAAGATGGTTCAGCCTCACAGACTACTCCAGCTAGGACTTCAGGAAAGCCCTGCAATCTCACATCACACAGAGACTGGACCACAATAAAGTTAGATCCTTCCAAGACTATGCTAAGTTTTCAGGGTGCCCTAAAAAGGCCACCATGTCCAGACAGCAGAAATTTTAGGACAGTATGCCCTATTCCTGTGAGGTGGGGTGAATGGTGTTTGGTTGTTTGGTGGGTTACAGGTGTTGTCACGGGGGGAGCTGGTTGCAAGTTGTTGTTGATTATGGTCAGAAAAGAAACTAAACAAAGGAGATCAGATTCAGGGATCTCTTGGTGGGGAATGTCCTTCTACATGCCGTGAATGTATGCTTCTCTTATTGGTTGATGAGTAAAGCTATTTTCAGTCAGTGGACAGGCAGGATTTAGCCAGATGGGAAGTCCAAACAGGGATAGAGAAAGGTAGTAGACAGAGGCAGAGAGATGCCATGTAGCTGCCCAGAAAGCAAGAGGCTCAGGCATTACTGGTGAGCCAAGACCATGTGGATATGCATGGATTAATAGAAATGGGTTAATAGTTAAGAGAGAGCTGGCCAACAAGAAGCCTGAGCTACAGGACAAACAGTTTATAATTAATATAAGCCTCTGTGTGTTTATTTGGAACTAAACAGCTAAGGGACTGGGTGGGACAGAAACTTCCCTCCACAGGCTTTCTCCCCATCTCCCTCCCTTCCTCCCTCCCTCTCTTCCTTCCTTCCTTTCTCTTTCCTCTATCCATCTTTCTCTCCCATCTTATGTTGAAGAAAGAGGGGGGGAGTGTGGTATGAAAAGAAAACATGGGGGATATAGGAATGATAGGATAAAAAGGTAAATTATCGAATCTACTTCTAAACTAAAAAGCAACTACTAGCCTCAAATATTTTACATTCATACAGATTTTTGTATATTGATACAAATTTTTGGTTATTTTTGTTACAACATACTGTATAGATGTTCCTGCTCTTGTTTAAGGTATTGTACCTATGCAGCATTTAAAAATGTGATGAAGTTCCAATCCTTCAAAACTACTATTACAAACTATTTAGGAAAATTGAGAGATGCAGGTTAATTAGTAGCCTACAATAATCAAACTTGTAGTAAGGGTTTAAGTGTAGACAGAAATAAGCTTTATTTAACCTCATGTCACATTTTCAAGGTTAAAGGTTGAACAGAGATATGTTTTAGATAAATAGGTGGTCTCCAAACACTTCAGAGATCTATAGGCTATGACATTTATGATGCCTTAGCAATATAAAGCTTCTCATGACAGTGAGACATGTCTGCTCCTGGCAGCGCTAATCCACTTCAAAGAAGATGATGGTCATCGAAGAAGTGGAAAAGCCCAGCCACTGAGCAAGAAACTGCCCTTGCCTCGACTGCTGACAGTACGCTGTTCAAACTGAACCAGCAGGACACAAAGGGAGTCGACTGCCAAACTTTACCAAGACAAGGTAGTGCAGGCCTTAAAAATTCTTGCCTCACTTAAAAGTCTGTTAGGTATTCAAGGTCTGTAGACTGAAGATGGACACTCCAATGTTGCAGAGGAACTTTGAGTGACTGTCCAGGCAGCCAGCTATCTCTGCCATTTCTATAATTTTTTGAAGTCGCTTGCTCTGCACTTCCTGTTACTCAGTTAATATTTTATCTTTCTCAGGTCTGATAGGGGTTGAAGATACTTAGAGCCATAGTTGTAGTTTTCCTTGTTACCAAATTCAGAAATGAAGCTCCAAAAAAGATGTAAAGTCCATAAAGGTTAAGAGACATAAAAGCTTAAGTTGTTTATCTAGGAAAATGTTTTAAGGTCTAAAAGATATTTTTAGGTTGGCAATACAAGTTATGGAAGAAAGTGATTTAGGTAGAGAGCTTTGGACTCACCAAGATAGGATAGACAATAGGGTAGTTTCTCCAAAGTTGCCAAAAACAAATGGACTGGACATGGTAGATGCAATTCTTAAATGGTAATTGTTCTTATTGTATGTAGTTTATTGATGTTAGAGAAAGAGCCACAGTTTCTAGAATGAAAAGCCTCAAAGGTTTGGTGATGTGGATCAAAGGCTATAAAAAGTCAAAGAACCAATGGTTTAAAACAGAACATTCAAGATAATTTCTGAGGAGTCCACAGAAACGCCAGTGTGCAGGTCATGTTAGTAACATAAGGCCATATCATAAATAATTCACATACAGGGATACAACAACTAAGTAGACATTTCCCCATGTAAGTCTGTTACCGCACCACACTGATACCAGAACAACAGGTGATTTTATATTTATAAACTTTCTGTGTTTTCTGTTTCAGATACTATTTCTTTTGTAACTAAAGAAGAAAGACAGGAATCGAAAGTTACCCAAATTCAGTCCGTTGTTACGGTCATTAATATTTTAACATATGCTGTTAACATATTACTGTATATTACAATATAATTTTCCTGCTAGTGAATCTTAAATATGACAGGACACACGGCGGCAAAGTGCAGCTATGGAGACAGCTTGCCATTCCCCAAGGCCCTCCTCCCTAGCAGTCACTTCTTGTTCACTGAGTATACCTAGTCTTCTTCTCCTAGATGGTAATGGTGTCTAGTCCTTGTACCAGTTAAGTTTAGCAGACAAAAGGAAAAACAGAAAGATCTTCAATAGTTGGAAAAGGTGTCAGTAGAACGAGAATAGCTCTTGCTTATTAATTTCTGCCACACTATATAATAAGTGGGCTGTCAACGCCTTTTGGCTTCCTTCCCAACACTATGAAATAAAACCACCAAGAAATCAAGCTGGGACTATTCCCAGGCCTTGCGCACATGATAGACAGGTACTTCAACACTCAGCTACATCCCCAGATCAGAAGTACATAACACTGTTAGATCATAGCCTGGAGGAATAGGACAGTTTTGATCTCGGAAAGTTGACTGTGTATTCACCACCACTTTAGACCTCTCTGTTAATGGCTTCAAGAGAAGTCAGTTTGGATCCATGGTTACTTTTAGATGGAAGGAAGAATGCTGATACTGTGTGTGTGTGTGTGTGTGTGTGTGTGTGTGTGTGTGTGTGTGTGTGTTGGGTGGGAGGAGGAGTGGGAGCCACCAGTGAATTTTGGGAACACACCTTCCTACTGTGAGGACATCTCCATACCTTGCTGCTTTTTAAAATTTTAGTTGCGGGTGGCTGGCCCTCACAGGCTCCATGTTTCCCTCGCTGTTTCCCCACCTGGACTTACTGTTCTCAGCGTCTTTGTCATTCAACGGGAGTTCTCTGAAGCAGACACAGGGGCCTTCAAGCGACATTCAGCGGATCCCAGAGCAGATGTAACCTGTCAGAAGCACAGTTCATACTTTAATCTGCTTGTCACGTGCAAACAACAACCCGAGAGGTTAACAAACCATCATGAAATGGAGGCTGAGGAGCCCCACAAGTCATCTCTGCACAATGTGAGCCATTTTCATCATGCTCTTTTACGAAGAGAGTCTGCAAGCGAACTCACCACCACCCCTCAAAATTTTTATCCTTTTAAATTTGTTTTGGCAAAACTCTATTTTCCTGTTCCAGCCCAGTTTTCCAGATTTCATGACGTATATTTACTTAAGTATTTAATGATCATAATATATATATGTATATATATATATATATAATTTCACAGTACTGGGCAATCAAGGGTGGAGGTTTTGGATATCATAAACTCCTCAGAAATTTTGAATTCAGTGGGTTTTTGTTTGTGTCCTTTCTTCCTTGTGTTCTACCTTATCTCTTCAGTTTCTTTGTAGCCATCCCCATGTAGTCGCAGGGAGCCGGGTCCTCATGCTAGGCCCACAGCAATCAGGTGCTCAGTACCCTCCAGTGGGCTCAAGTTCAGAGTCTCTGTAGTTCAGCGGTCACGTCTGCCCTGCACTGAGGCTTCACAACCCTTGTACTGCATCAAGACCCATTAGTAATGTGGGGAAGGTCTATTTATTTCTGTCATAGATGCTTAGGAGCCTGCCTTTGGAACATTCCCATGGGTCTTTGGTGTGCAGCCAGGCTGCAAAACTCATTTCCCTCTCTGTACTTTTTTCCTAGATGTATGGATCCATGACCGTCAGTAGTCAGGTACCCTGCACTTCTGAGTCCTTGCCTCCACTTAGCTTGCTGGCGTCTCTCTCTGTAGAGAGTTTTAAAGACTTGATGTAATCCCTGAGGTCTAATGACATGCCTCATTCCCCCTTGTCTTTTCCAAGATCAAGATCTGCTTACTGAATGAACTGCCCACCTTCAGCACCTACTTTCCCCCAACCCTTAGTCTGAGGGCTTCAAGCAGCCTGTTCCAATGTAAACAATGGATGAAGAGGACCACAGAAGTCTGCAGCAGCCTCTTTCGTTATTTTATTCAGGGTCGCACTTATCTTTGCATACTGTTTGTAAATGATTCTCTGCACAGTCACTGAGACTAGAGAGTAGACCGAGTTTGCTTTCTTTCCCAGCGTAGCAGACTATGTATGCTGTGTGTGTAACAGATTCCCACCAGCATCGCAGACTATGTGTTGTGCGTCGTAGGTCCTCAACACGCCCTTGCTGAGTATTCCGCCTTCCTGCGTCTACAAAGTCAGTTAACATTGAGGTCTTATTTTTCTTGTTCTTCTTTCTCTTCTTCCTCCCCAGACATGACAGTATTTCTAAACTTAAGGATTCATGTGGCTCAATTGCATCCAATGAGATGATGAACACTCAACTTCTCACTTTCAAGTCGTCTGGCTAGACACTAAATCTCATCACCCACCTCCCTGTCCCTTTGTCGTTATGCGATGTTACATATTATAACTCTGGAAGGAATTGTTCCAGGAGACTGATGCACAAAAAGTTAATTAATTTTTTTTCTTATTCAGAGATAGAGAATGTCAGAGCTAGCAACTAGCCCAAAAGCTGGACCCAGGGTTTGCACATTTATTTATTTATTTGTTAGCTTGTTTGTTTATTGTGTGTGTGTGTGTGTGTGTGTGTGTTTGTGCATGTACACCAGGGCATATGTGCAGAGATCAGAACACAGCTTTTGGAGTTGATTCTCCATTTCCAACATGGGGCTCCAGGGATTAAACTGAAATCATCAGGTTTGACAGCAACTGCTCTTACCGATGGCACCAGCTTAACTCCTACTTATATGTAAACTTTCTTCTGAAAGGATTTGCTGAGTCTCTCTCCAGGTTTGTCCTTGAAATCAGAATCATCCTGGAATCACCTCTTGAACAGGCTCACACTATATTAACAATACGGAAGCATTTTTTTTTTTTACAGCGAACAAGGCATATCTGCCAATGCCATTTTGTTCGTTCTCCAAGAGGCCATTTTGTTGTGATGAGTTCTGCTTCACAGATTAAAACAACAACAACAACAACAAATAACCACACTGAGCAACTGAAGTGGCTTCTTCAAGAAACACCATTAATAAGGAGCACAAGTTGAGACATTTGCCACAGAAAGGGGTTGCTGCGACTCAGGCTTGTGTTGTGGCAGAGTTGGCATGGTTTGGGCTGTGAGCATCACACAGAGCTCCCTGCTCTCGAATTGAAAGGTCTGGGCTTGGGGAACCACTCTTGTTCTTTTACACAGACCTCTTTTCTCACCACTATTTTCCCTCCAGAGTCAGAACCACCAGGTTTTCTACAATAACTGTGTCACAACAGGATTTCATCAGAAAGCCTGCAGTGACATCTGGTGACCACAGATGGATAAAAGTTCTAACAAGACACTCAAGGGGCTTTAAAATATGGGTTATAGTATAGAAGAGGGACAGAGGTTGGGGAGGATCAGAACAAAAGAGAGTCTCCAGGGCATGGCAACACTGCTCCACTCACAAACAGACCTGCACAAGACCAAGCCAGTCATTATTCCATCACGAACCAGGGAAAAGGTTCCCATCCCTGGAACTGAGGTGCTGTGATCAATTAATGGTTTCTAGGGAGAGAGAGAGAGAGAGAGAGAGAGAGAGAGAGAGAGAGAGAGAGAGTTTTCCTTAAGGGTGTGGTCCCTGGTAGGTTTAGCCATGCTTCTGTGTGGTTGGAGGGACACCCCAAGAGTATTGGGCATTACAAAGTGAGTTATTCAATAGGATTTTTTTTTAAATAAGAGGACATGAAGTCGCAGGGGTAAGGAAGTAGGAGTGGATCTAGGTGGATTTAGGGATTGGATATGATCAAAATACACTGTATGAAATGCTCAAAAATCAACAAGATGTTATAGTAAAACATTTCACCTTTTATTAGAATAGAGTTGTTATTTGTATGTGAAATGACTTCCACAGGTTCGTGAACTTGGCTCCTGGAAGACGGTTGTTTTGAGGGGTCAGGGAGTATTCCCACCTTCATGGGGCCTCCTGCTGTCATGCCTTCCTGTTCCTTCATGATAACCTGTCCCTTAAGCGTCGAGCTAGCATAAGATGCCCAGCCTAGGCATCCGCTACAGTACTAAACACGAGCGTCAGCTGCTCCTGCCTTTCTCATGCACAACAACGGCCAACCACTGAATGCCAACCCACCTGCCTGCCTTGCCTCTCTCTAACCAGAGTTACCTTCCAGTGCTATTCCTTCTAAAAAAAAAAATGCCTTTCCCATCCTGCTTCACAGGAAGAATTTGTCTACAGGGTTCAAGCCATGTGCAGCACTTAAATATTGCCTTTTCTAGGTTTTCAGGTTGGATGCAATTCCCAGTCTTGTAAGTTCAGTCTCCCCTGTATCTTTACCAGTGACATGGCGTCCCTGCACCTTCTCTCCTTCCTGTCAGGTCATGAGCACTCTGAGGCATGGCGGCAAGAATGGAAATCACTGGCTAACCTGACACCAGCTTCTTCAGTTATGTGCCTCTATAGAGGCTGCTTCCCTTTTCTATAAAGCGCACGTGACGGCAATGTTTGATTATGGACAAACAGGCAGCAATTCTAATAACAGATGTGGGGTCTGTAGGAAGGAACGGATAAGACCATGCAGACTAAGACAATCAACAGAGTAACTTGCCCATGCTGGGCACTCAATGTAAGAACAGCCACGGGGTCACATATGCTCATTAGGGAGACTTCCTGGGGATAAACTGAAAATTAATTATGGGCTTTGGAGGCGCAGTTGGAGTTTAGGGTTCTTTCTCCCAGGTATATGGTGCTGATCAGAGTGGTCTGTAATGAGAGCTTTCTTGTTTTGGCTGGTCCCCCCATCCTTTAGCCACAAATGAACACTCAGAGACTATATTAGTTATATAGTTGGCCAGTGGCTTGGGCTTCTTACTGGCTAGCTCTGTCTTAGTTATTAACCCATTTCTATTAATCTATGTATTTCCACGTGGACTTGGCTTAGCAGAGAAGGGTCTGGACCTGTTACTCCTCTGGTGTCCTACATGGCGACTGACTCAGCCTACCTTTCCCAGAATTCTCCTCATCTCCTAGCCTCGCCCACCTCCCTGCCTCTATTGGCCACAGTGTTTTATTCACCAACCAATAAGACAAACATGTATACAGAAGGACATCCCCTGTCAGTGGTCACATGGAGACTGGCTGAAGGCAGAGTAACCTTTACAGGGATCTGTGGGCTCCCACGTTCGCACGTCTTTATTTGCTTTACCGATTTCTTCTAAAGGCTATTTTTATGTTTAACCTCACACGCGTGCACACATACGAGAGGCACGCAAGTGCCTGTGCGGGCCGGAAGGTGTTGATGTCTTGGAGAAAGACTTACTGGTGGTTGTGTACTGCCTCGCAGGTGCTGTAAACAAACTGAGGTCCTCCTCGAGAGCAGTACATGCTCCTAACTGCTGAGCCATCTCTCCAGCCCTGCTGGTTACTTTTCAACCCCCCCTTTCTTTACACAATGAAGGGTGAGAATAAAAAATGTTCCCTCAAAAGAAAGAAAATGGCTGTTTATAGATGGCTTTGCCATGGAGCCAGTATGTGATAACTTGTCTTAAGAATTCACACAGAGTCATCCCTGTGTCTACGTGTCGCCATATATACAGACATGGCCAATGGAGGATCCAGAATCGCAGATGACCCCAATGATGCTCAGTGTTTCCTTATTCTTCTCTTTAATACAGAAACAGCGCTAGATCACAGCCATGGACAGTCTTGATGTTACATCAGAAATGGTAGGTTGCTTAAAAGATGATAGAAGAATATAGGGGAATGTACGTGAGTTTGATGCACACACTCCATCATAAAACAAGGAGGCAATGTGTCAGGGACCTCCAGCCATCAGTCAGCTAGGCTGTATCACATTCTCATAGAGAAGATGTGACATTAAGACCACCCTGCCACCCCTTCTGATATAAAGCAAATTCCAATAAAACAGGCCTGCAGTTTAT